TTAATAGCTTAAACCACCTTTTTGAGGCTTGAGACTAATTCCACTCCCTGCCCATCTGCTTTGGGCTTTGTTTTAGGCTCATGTTTCAGATCTGCATGCAGTGCTTGCGTTACCCTGGTAACTAAATGTTGGTTCCTTGTTATAGGGGTTCAACATTACTTTCCAAAATCTCATAGGGCTTGTGATGGCACAAGCCATGGATCTTTGTATAAAAGTTATTCGCCTTTCACATTTACCTGCTGTAGTATTGTTGTATATTGTGTGTGTGCGTGTGTGTGACGTCAGGCTGCCATGTAAAACTTTCAAAAGGAAAAAAAAAAAAAAACTTAAATGCAGACCATCCTTTTTTGCATGCTTAGAGGGTTAGAACGTTCAATGTAACAAACTAAAGTTGCATGTTAAAATGTTTAGGTTTTTGTTTTGTTCTGTTTTTATTTTGTGTTCAGTTTTTTGTGAATTTGCTTATTGTGCTGTTTTAATGGTTGTTAGTAGGATTAAATGCACCGGTGAGACGAGCATAGTGCCAACGGAAGGTAATTTTCCAGTTGTATGTGTCATACAGCATTTGAAGGGACCATGTATTCTGTTAAAGAAAAAATAAAATCACAGTTGATTAGCAAAACACTACATTTTTCTTCTTTCTTTTTGAGTGCCAAACCCTAAACTATGTTGGAGTAGACTATGGGGAAAACCCTTATTATTGCAACAGGTAGAAGCCTTCTTTAAGTGAATTATTTAAAAAGGGAGGCTTTGTCTTCAGATAGAACTGACTAGTTGCTTCAGGGAAAAGAATTATGGTAAAAACAGTTTCTGGTTCCTTGAAAATGCTGTGCTTTTGTATTTTACATCATTAGTGCAATTTGGATGGTTCTTGGTATGTGTATAGTTCAAAGGTCTTCGTGTTCACATTTTAAAATTAGGTAATGACTTCATCTTTAGAGCTTGGTTTCATTATTTTTATTTTATTTTGAACAATGTAGACAGTTCCCTGTTCTCTGCATTTAGAAGTATAAACACTTTAAATCTGTTACTTAATTCTGTAAGTAATTTTTATAATTATGATGTAACTCTATCCTTAAAACATTTAAAATAAACCCTTTATGTGCAACTTACGACTGTAAACTTTGTTCTCATGAGCAAAATGTAGTGATGTGGTTTCAGATTATGAAGAAGCAGTTTCTTCAGTTTTGTAATTTAAAAGGATTTATTATTTTAATGCTGAGCTATATATGCTGGTATAATACTTGCCCCATGAAATAACTTTGCTTGCAAAGCCAAGTCTTTATTCTTTTTTCCAAGTAAGTATAAATGCTGTTGAGGTGGAACTTGGCTAAGGTAAAGCATACTGCTTAGATTGTAGTTTACCAAACACAGAAAAACTCCCCTCCAGGGGATTATGCAAGTCTGTGAAGGAGTCTCTATTTCCAGAGCACACAAAATATTTCAGCAGTGGGGAACAGCAGAAGCATTTGGCAGTGTTTAGGTGATACATTTGTCTGCTCTGAATTAATAAAATTTGAAATTCAATTAAGCACATTTTACTGATGATAAAAAAGCAAAGTTGATCCAAATTAGAGGTGATGAGCAGAGAAGATAACCTCACCATGCTGCAGATTTTTTTAAGTCATGTAGGTTGTACTGATTAATGCATGAAGACTTAATTATTTTATGTTGTTAAATAACTAAGGCAGACTTTCAATATTGAACAGATTTTCTTTATTCCTAACTCTTTTCTGATAATAAAGGGGAAGGTGTTATATGGGTACCCCAAAATACAATTTTTTTGGCACCAAGCTCATTAGATGTATACTGAAGATCTTGGAGCATGCCAGCATGCAGTTGGGATGAATACCCAAGCCCCTTCAGTTACCTTAGTTCAGTGTCCTGTTTATTGTATCCTGTTGCCTGAGAGACTGGTCCCAGTGAAGATGTATATTGTGTGCATCTGCCGATCAGGGAGAGTCTTAAGACTTCGCTTTAGCAAGAGCATCACATGCAAAAAGCAGATGTTAATCTGTGTGAGCTGCCTACATTAAATTATAGTTAAAAACAGATACACTAACATTTTATGACTAATGCTTGAACCTGTTCTGTATTACAGCTGATAAACCAAGCTCAGTTTTGTGGCATCTCTTTTCAGAGAAGAAGGAGCCTTATAAAAACAAAGATATTTTTGTTCTCTATTACTGCAGTAACGAAACTGCCCCTGAAAGCTGGTTACTTAGCTCATTTACAAGCAGCTCAAATGTCGATGCTTTGAAGACAGTAATATCCCACAGATTTAGGAGGGTGGGGGTAGGAGTCCTACCCGGAGCTACAGCTGTAATATTTTCACATCTGTCAGGTTCCTCCTTGTGCATGTGAACAGGTTGTATTTTCAGAAAAAAACAGCTTCTCTCTCTCTGCTCAGTGAGTTCTTTATTTTGAAGTCTAAGAATTTTTTTAAAATATTGATGCTCTAAACAGTTGAGCTGCTGATGACTTCAGTGGACTCCATTGTTTTTTGGAAAGGATAAGCTTTAGTAAGGATATTTTGGAGGAGGTTGGGCTGCTGCAATATAAGATCATTAAGGTCTAAAAGGAGAAGTAAGAATAGGTCAAGGAAACAACAGGTATGTACTTTCATCCTCAAGCACTGGATAATAAAAGTTTTTCACTTTCTTTGCACACATAGAAGCATTTTTTCAATCTAACTAGTTTCTTTTTCAGCGAGTAAGTTCCTGCCTTGGCATGTTACATCACTTAACTCTTCTCTCTGACAATACCAATACCTTACCTTTTCAATTCATTTCAGGATTGGCAGCCTGGGAAAGTTATCAGGCTACTAAGCATTTTTTTCAGGCTCTGCTCTTCCCATTTTAATAGTTTACTGCCCTGTGAATTCCTTGATTCCTCTTCCAAATTCAGAGTGCAGAGCTGCATACACACGATATACAGCTGTGTATGCACAACAGAAAGCAGCAGGGGTGTCAGCAGTGTAAATAAGGTGGTGTCTACTTAACAATTCCCTCTTCACTTAGATGTTAATTACAGATTTCTGCACATTATTTTTCTGAAATCATTTATGATTTGCATGACTTCACTTGTACACAATTTGTGTAAATGGTTTTGTAGCCCAACAGTTAAAAAACCTATATGCTTTGGCACTGGTTCCACCCATCCCCGTGCAATTAGTCCTTAGATTTACTTGTATTCAATGAAGTCTGACTTTTACAAGTCCTTTTTGAACATTTTGATGCATTTTGGTGCCACGTTGTTCCTCAGGTCTCTGCACTAAAGACTGGCCTGTTCAAAGCTAACTTTGGTAATGAACATGGACATCTGCACATTTGCTTTGATTTGTGCAAACTTCTTTTGTTACTTCTTAAGAATGTTCCACCCAGACCTGACATTTGAGAGGCGTATTTTTTGTTAATAAAATAATCAACACAACTTTACACTACTTTGATTTAACTTGAATGTGCATTTAAAGTGATTTCATGCAAACAGCCACTATTTTGGGAGGGCTTTTTTTTTTTCTTACGTTTGTATGGAAAATTGCTCAGTGACAGGGCAGCTAGTTCTTTAAATATGAGAAAGGAAAAGTAAGATCCTTACACATTTTACTCAACTAGATTTGGGCTGATGTTTTTTAATCCTGCTGCGCTAACTAGCTACACGTAGTTATATGCTCACCTTTGAACTGGACTGTGGGATGACTTCTTAAATTATCTGCACAAAGACTTTCATCTTTTACCACTGGAGTCATGCACTGGGAACACTGGTTGGTATGCTTTCCTTAAAAGTTCTAATTAATTTGATTTTACAGCACTGTTTACTAACTCCTAGCCATTTTTAATTTACAGAAGCAGATGTCTAATTTAAACCCCTATGAATTTAATGAATTAAAAAATGAAGTAACCTTTTAAGCTGTAAGAACAAAATAAATCAACACTAATAGCAGAAGCATTAGAGAAGAAATCTATAATGATTCAAAGGTTGTGCTCAAAAGTGTAAAAAGGATAGCAGCAGCAAGTTATATAAGTAACTTTTTGCTACATTACCGCACAGTTCATTATGGAAGGTTGAAACCGTGTCTTGCTGGGAATCATTAATGTCAGGCTTTGTTCACTCATTCTCAGTTTTCTGCTTTAAAAGGATATTCATTCTGCCTGACACAAAATTCTCTTCTACTGTTAGTGAGGCTCAGTGTATTGTCTACTCAGAAGCTGGCAGATAGAAAGAATAACATGAAAAAGAGGAGTTATGGTGCAGTTTTCTGAAAAAGGTAGAAAAGCTAACTACTTTGATTCAGAATTTCTCATGGTAGGTAAAAAAAATGGACCC